CTCCTCCTACTACTCCTACTCCTCCTCCTACTACTACTACTACTGCTCCTCCTACTACTACTACTACTACTACTACTACTACTTCTGCTACTACTTCTACTACTACGACGACGACTACGACTACGTCTACGACCACAACGACTACTACTGCGATTGCTGCTGCTGCTCCTGCTGCTGCTCCTTCTGCTGCTACATCTATTTCTAGTACTACCAGAACCGCTCGCACGAAGAGTATTCGTACTAAGCCGACGAAGCCGATCACCACTGCTACTGCTACTGCTACAGCTACCCTGTAGTCTTCAAACTCTGCGGGACTTAGCCCTTTGTCTTGGTTTTTCACGCTCCACTGTTGACCCACTCGCATCGCAATTCCCTGTGTCATTTACCGACTGAGGTCTAGTTGCATTTTTGGAGCAGAACTGCCGGGAAGATCACGGTGTTTTCCAGCTGCGCGCTGCTTTTGACAATGCTACCAACGAGGATTTCGTGCAGGTGCGCGTGGCCTGCCCCGGCACGGCCACTTCAAAGGCTGTCGCGAACAGTAGCGCGAGCCAGCCTCTGCCGATCGTGATAGAGCAGTTTGAACTTGCAGCCAGCGGCACGGTGACGACTCTGAAAGAGCTGATCTCCAAAAGGACGAAGTTCCCCGTAGATCAGACGGTGCTGTTGCTGGGCTGTAAGCGATTACATGACGAGCTTCCCATGGGCCGCGTCGCTGCCGCAGCAGAGACGTCTGGAACTCCTCTGCAGCTGCATTTGAGCGCAAAAGGAGCTTTGGCCTTCCTCAGGCGCGAGGGGCAAGGACACCGCGAGCAAAATGGCCCGCACACACTCAGCCTTATTCTGCCGGCATCTGTGAAGGGCAGCCAGGAAAGGCCTATGCCCTTTGATCTCGAATCCACTCTGAGTGATCTGCGATGGTCTGTGCAAAGCATTTCCGGGATCTCGCCGGCGCGCATGAAGTTGTTTCTGGACGACGACAGAGACTTGTCGTTCGCACCGGAGTCCAGCACTTTAGAGGAGCTTGGCTTCGAGGATGGCTGCAGTGTGCATGTGCATGAACCGGATGCTCTGGCCGTCGCCGACTTCGACATGCCATTGGATATCCCATCCATGGGTCCTGCGAGCCTGCTTTACGAGACGGCAGCGGAAAAGCTCGGGCTCGGGGTGGCACAGCAAAGCAAGCTTGCAATCTTTGCTGGGAGTCAGCTGGTCGAACGTAGTGCTGATTTATCTCAGGCGCTCATCGCTGACGGAGTGATCCTCTGTGCTTACATGAACTGGCCCTTGCATTTATCCGTGTCCGTCCTAGACTCGAGCCTGCCAGGAACCCTGGAGGGCTTTCCAGGCGCATCGCCACCGTTTGTGAGCGGTGGTTGGGTCGTGTAGGTGGCTTTTCTGAGTGTCTGTGCGACAAGATCTAGCATTGTTTCAGGTTCCTTGGAAGTGCGAAGCTGCGATTCCATTGCGGACGTCCGCCGGAAGCTGGTGGCCCGCGCCGTGGAAGCGGAGGCGACGGCGCTTCTGGAAGGCAGCTTGGCCTTCGCGGTGGAGTGCTCCACGTGGGAGCGAGAGGGAGCGGGGTGCCGCACTCTCGCATCGCTGGAGACTCTGTTGGGAGGATTTGCGCCTGTGCCGGAGACGGCGCGTCTCTCCAGGCTCGGAATGGCTGATGGTGGCTGCCACCTCGTGTTTGTGCCCAAGAAGGTGATATCCGTGGAAGTTCTGGTCTGCCATGGCGAGGAAGAGAAGGGCACCAGACAACTCAGGGTGCCAAGCACCACTCGACTTTCAGAGCTTTCAAAGATTCTGATAAGAAGTCTACGGCAAAGCAGCCTCCCTGATTTTGCCCCAAGCGAATTCGCCCACTGCTCCTGGACGCCCTCTTCGGATCCAAAGTCTCGGGATGGCCTGCAGCGGAGCGCCTCGCAGTCCTCCTTCGGCGGAGTGCCCCGGCCGAACAGAGCCTGGACCGCTCGAGACGCGGCATGATACTGTAACCATCATGATCGTAATCGAAAAGAGTCATACTGCTGTCACGAGGCCTCTCCTTCTTCCCCTAAACGCCTAAACTCCTCAAAAGAGAGAGAGCTCAGAGTGTTCTTTTCACTTGCCTTTCGACTCTTCAAACGAGAGGTGGCGGCGATGCTGTCGAAGGTGAAGAGGAAGTCCTTCGGGAGCAGCCCGGGCCCGGGCTCTCCGCCCGAGAAGCGCCGCCGCGGAGCTGGCGACTCCAAGGACCTCAGCTCTGAGTCCTCTCTTCTAGTGGGTTTAGGGTTGAGGGTTGAGGGTTGAGGGTTTAGGGTTGAGGGTTTAGGGTTTAGGGCATATTCCTCTCCTTCCGATTTGTGTTCGTTTTGGGGCACTTTTCTCACTTTGTGACTTGTAGATTGGTAAAAAAAGCTACAGAGAGATTGAGAGGACATCGACGAGAGGCAGTTTGTGGGCGACCTGCAAGCCCAGCATCCGACGTCCTCCAGAGCGCTCTGTCAGCCTGCGACCCAGCTTCCGCTTTCTCCTCAGAAGCTGAAGAAAAGAGGATATGAAACCAAAGACTCATGAAAGAACCAGACATGGTGAGGCAGTTCCTGTGCCCGATCTCCATGCAGATCATGCAGGATCCCGTCATTGTGACGGGAAGTGGCAACACTTACGATCGCAAGTCGATCGAAAGGCACTTCCAGCACTTCTACAGAGACCCGCTGAACAACACCGAGCTCAGAAGACCGGCGGACAGAAACCTGCCCGATCTGAAGAGCCAGTCAGAACATGTCGTCGCCACAATTACATGGCTGCTAATAACAGCGACCGCCATTAGCATTATCGTAAGGATCGTATTGAAAAGTGTGGTTCGCTGCTCTTTAGTTGGTGGTTCGGCTGCCATGCATCCAGGAAAGCTGGTTCCAAACAACCAGCTCCGCAGCCAAATCCGATCCTCAGTTGCGTTGGAATTTGCCCGCCCAGTCAGCCAGAGTTGCTCACCATCTAGAACGGCAGACTCTTGCGTCGCTCGTGCGACTCGCCCAGGTGAAGCCGAAATTTCGCAAATTCACTTGCGACTTACTGCACATGTTAGTGACGCTTGGTTGAATTTCGCCTCCTGGTGCATCACCTGTCGCGAGTTGCGGTCAAACTGAGGAGCAGCGCAGCTTTTCCAGCGATGCGCCGATGGCCGAATATCTTCGTTACTGTGCGTCTCTCTTGAGCCGAGGAAATTAGGACAGATTAGGTCTGCCTTCATTCGCGAAGGTCCGCGACAGGCATAAAGTCCCTGGTGTCTGCCTTCGCTCAGCCCGAAACGAGCAAAGGCAGTAAAAATAGTACGATCGAAGCAGCCGGGCTTCCTGAAACTTGCGTGCCCGGATGTGTGGCAGAGCTGAAGCTAATCTTTCAAGGGTCATGAAGATTAATGATTTGCTGGTGGCAGGCCGGCACCAAAGGTGTACCGGAAGTTAGGGCGCTTACACGCCCGACTTGACTTTGCCACCACACTGGACTAATGAACCTGCATGAAATGCGTAGGGTGGAACATGGAAAGCCGTCGTTCCTGCCGAAGTAGGAATTGGCAGTCGTGACCAGCTGATCAGCCATGACTGCTCATCAGACAGAGCGATCAGTAACGGCATTGGATGAAAGGCTAGCGGCCAGCCACGATGCTGTCAGAGCACAAGCCCACAAACTGCCTGACCCTTCGGATTGCTCCCGTGCTCGAGGCCCAGCATCGTGGTGTTCTTGAACAAGATGGACCAGCCGGGCATGTTTGTCAAACAACCAACGACAAGCAGACATTCTGCAAGACACTGCAGAGTCCTGCATGGGTAGCTAGGCAGCGGAGGACACTGTTATGTGCGTATGTGTTGTCTATGTAGGAGAGAAGTGCCTGCAGCAAGATTTCCATCCTTCGAAGACTTCGCAGATGTAACCGGTGCCGGCGTCCGTATGTGGCCAGGACATGGTCGAAGACATGGAACTTGTCGATCTTGTCGAACTGGAGGTGATCCCGTGCACTAAGGGCCCATGTTCAGAATCCGTCTTTCGATTGTAGCTTCGCAGCTTTTTGGCGTCTTCCAGTCTCTTGGCTCGAGCGAAGCAGAACTCAGCCCTGGCCACCGCGATGTTGAGCAACTTTTGTGCAGCTTGCTTGCAGCGCGAAGCTGGAGGGAGCTTCCTTGCCTGAAAGCCATTGCGCAGACAACCTGAAGATTACATAATAGCACCCCCTTCAATCCCAATCTTCCAATCTAGGGTTCTCTGTCCGGGTGCAGAATTTTCGTTTGATCGTGCAGAAGGCGTTGAATGGGCGCATGCCTCCTGCGGATGCATGCTGTGCTATTTTCGGCACCGAGGCAAGGCCTCGCCGGGGCCGCCGGAAGCCGGCGCGCTCCCGGCGGAAGGAGCCGCGAAGTGGCTTGTGGATGATTCAGCCAGATCTGAAATGGTGTCACATCAAGCTCGGCCTACAAGAGTGCTGAGGGGATGCTTCGAAGCTGTTTGATGCATATTTCAGTCTAGAGGGCGGAGATGAATTTGTACTCAAGGCTTCTGTCACATTGGAGATTGTGCTGAGATGTTGATGATTGAAGAAAGGAGGAGGCAGTCCTGGATACATATGCCGGTTTGAGGCAGGGTTGTTGCTGTGCAGAAGCCTCCGAAGATGCTGTAAGCTAGGCTAAGACGAGATGGGGCAGCAGAGAAGGCCTGTTGCGTTCCCTATCGCACAGGAGCAGGACAGTGGCATCTTGGCAAAATGTTCCTTGCCAGCATGTTACTTACTCGCCCTCGACATTGCTGCAATCCTAAACCTGTCGGGGCTCCTGTCATGAAGCTCATACTGAACGACACATGTTCGGAGGTGTGAGCCTTGCTTGTGTGCAGTGTGTGTTACTCTGCCGTGCTTATAGGAGAGAAGTCTTGCGCTGCAAAGGCATCCAGGCCATGCACTGCCGTGCTTTTGCAAGGTGATGACACTCGCGAGTGGTGGAAGTGGCCGGCGCAGACGGTCGTGTGCCTGGGCTTCGACTGCGCGCCGGCTTCGACATTCGGCGAATGCTCAAACAACCACGACTCACCAGCAGCCGACTCGTGCAACAATTCCATAGTGTTTGTTCATGTCGTATGCTTGATAATGGCCTGTTGTTTAGGTGCCGACATGTTCAACATTTATCACACTACGATGTCGGGTCATACATATCCTGCGAATTTCCAAGTCGATGGGAGTGCAACAAGGCTGCGCAGGTCACTCACGCAGCATTGGAACGGCACAACAGCTGAGACATGGGCGCAGCAAGGCTGAATGTCACCGTAGGACGCAACATGGCATCTGAAGAAGACCGGTCTCGGACTCTGCTCGCGCCGCATTCGATGCTGCTGTGACTTTCGAGGCTGTCCGACCCACCTCCAAGGCTGAAGCTTTGACCCAACTGAGGCAGCCGCCTTTGTTGGCGATTCACGAAGAGAGTGCTCCAAGGCTGGCGGCGGGTGGGCTGATGGGCGCTCGATTCAGTTTTTGAGTTGACGTTGCATGCTGCGTGGGCTTTGCGACAAAAGGCCGCAATAGTCATACTCGCCACAGCACCAGGCACGAGGACAGGATCTTTCTCAGAGACCGGATCACTTCTCGGCGGCCTGCCAGCAGCTTTTGCACTGTAGTGCATGACTTTGTGCTTCCTGTGACGAGGTATCTGTCAATCATTGTCCAGCACGGCAGCGCAATACAGTGCACCATGCCTGTGGCTTACAGTGGGCAATCCGTGCAATGGCAGTGAAGTGACGATTATTGAATGTGCTGACTTGTGAAAGCATGCATGATGCGACTCAGGACAGAGAAACCTGCATCTCTGTTCGTGGTCCATGCAGACATGGCAGAATACCAGGCAGTCGCACGGACAGATCAGACAGGGCCTGCCATATCTGAAAGACCAAAGATCCGACAGGAAGCATGGCTGGGTTTCGCACACGAAGGGTTGCCGGCATTTGGCTGCTTCCTTGGCTACAACAACTTTTTTGAGAGCTGGTACGCCTCGCTGGGAGCAGGCCCGGCCGTGGTCGTTCTCCATGTGACGTACGATGACGTGTCACCGGCTAGCTGCTGCTTTTTACTCTGTTTACGCAGGCTCTGAGCATCCTCTTCCATGCGAAGCCGAAGGCCTCCAAGCTCACAGCACCTTCAAGTGGCATCCGGATGCCACGCTAAGGCAGCTCGGCTTAGCCCATCGCAGTCTGACTTGGCTTCCTGGCCCTGCTCGAGTGGCCTTCCCTGCGTATAGTTTGCCCCGAGATGCTGCGGCCAAGGCACTTATCAAGTGGGCTGTGGCTGCTTGGGGATCCGTTGACGGATGCCGTGCTGCTCCATGAAAACAGGAGGAGTCAATGGGAGGACAGGGTTTCCATCCCTGACGAAAGATGTTATTCCCGTGAGTTTGGGCAGCAACCTCTCGATGCCTTGGCTATCCGTCGCCGCAGGCTGTTCCTGTTGTCTGAGCGGCTGTACAGAATCGAATTCGATGCTTTCCTGATCTGGCATCTCCCGCCAGGAGGACAAGGGGGGTTTGTGGCATGAGATATGTTGGGCGTGTATGCCAGCGTATATCAACTCATATCAACTCAGTCGGTCGTGCTCCAAGCTGCTCAGGACAAAGTTTTGTGGATGGATAGACAGGTGTCGCCGCTGAGGCCTTCCACTGCGACGCAGCGAGCAACTTACATTTGTGCATAGATGAGTTCTGTCCTGTTTGCCCTTTCTTGACGTTGCCCTGAGCAAGGCTTCGAAATGTGTTGCTGCAGACTTCACCCATCTCTCGGCCTGCCAAGACGGCAGCCTTCGGCAAAGACTCGCAACTGCTGTGCATTTGACACGGGAAAGAGTTGCGAGGGAACTTGTACAGTTGGAGCCAGAAGCCTCCAGACGGCCCAAGTAGGCCCCAGCCTGTGTTCCGTCCTGTACAAAAGATTTGAATCTCACAATTTTGGCAGAACCGGTCGCTGCCGGATGCGCTCACGCAAGTCAACACGACTCGGGTCCCTGCACAGTGTTTCTCCGGATGCACCTCGTGCCATCGTGTGTCGATTTTAAGGCATGCCAGGGCACCCCAGATTTGCAGGTGGTTTGCGCAGGTAAACAGCTTCGGGCGGGACGTCTGACCGAGCGAAGCTTCATGCCCAATGCCCAGATAATCCAGATGTCAGCTTGCCGGCAGGTGCGAGAAATGCTGGATATGTATTCATTCCCTGGTGACGATACGTGCTCGACTTGGCTGTCAAGGCTGAGTTAGCCAGTTGCATGCCTGATCTGATTTCGAGGCCATTCATCCGGGGCTCTGCGCTGAAAGCATTGAACGGCGACACTGGTGAATATGGTGTCCCAGCCATCAAAAAGTCATGCGCTTGGGACCATTTGTGTGACTTGGGAACGGTTCTTGCCAATGGAGACAACCCAGGCTAATGGAAGCTGTCGATTCGTTCTTCCCAGATCCAGAAAGGCTCCAGCCTTATTCTTCGAAGCACGAGCCTCCTATAGCTTAAGTTGCCCGTGCGAGGGATGTGGACAAGCCCTTCCTCATGGGCGTGGAGAGTGCAGCCTGACTGAAGTCTCAGAGCTGAGAATTTTGTGCGCTTGGTGTCAGCCGAGGTGATGAGCATCACGGGGAAGGGCACGGTTGCCACAGGCAAAATCGAGCGTGGCATTGCGAAGACGGGTGACACGATCGAGATTGTCGGGGTCAAGGAACAGTGTCACAGATTCGTTCTTGGAGCCGTGTCAATTTTCGTCCAGCTGTCCGAGTGGACTTTCGCAGGATAAGACCGCGAAGGCCACCATCTCTGGCATAGAGATGTTCCACAAAACACTGGATGAGGGCCAGTCTGGCGATCAGCCTGCTGCTCAGTCCGTCCACCGGTAGAGCTGTCATGGATGTTGCCTTGCAGACGACACGGAAGTTTTGCCAGGTGTGGAATTATGCTGAAGGGTATCAAGAGAAGCGAGATCTTGCGAGGGCAGGCAAGCGAAGTCTTCCAGCCTTTGCGCTTGCTGTGTGCTCCCGTGCCCCCTGTCAGGTTCTGTGCGCTGCCGGGACTGTGAAAACGCTTCGACCTTGTCGCAGGGGTGCAGATGTTGAAGCCATGTACGTTGTTCGAAGTAGCATCGTCCTTGAGGTTCTCTAAGTTTGATGCAGACATCTACGTGGGGGACCGAAGAGATCAGTGCTACCAGTAATTACTTGGAGAGATCCCTTTGACCCCGCACTGCAGGTGCTGAAGGAGGACGAAGGTGGACGCAAGAAGCCTTTCTTCTCCAGCTATAGACCACAGGCCGTGTGACATGAAATCTTTGTGGATCATGCTGGCAGTCGCTTCTAAGTACTACATTGACATTTATGGAGCAGGGAAATATCCCAGGCATTCATCCGAACCGGCATGGTGACCGTGGAAGTGCAGCTTCCCGACAGCGCCGGCTTTGCCAAACTTAACTGGACGAGCTGAGTGGTACAGTGGCAGCGAGCGGGCACATCATGCCAGGTGGAAATGGCCATGCCGGGAGATTCCCTCTCCATCAGCCGGCGCCTGAGCCGCTGTCACAGGCTTTCGGTGTGGAGTAGACTTGGACCAAGGCCTGGCTGCCGAGAAGCCCATGGCTTTGGAGGAAGGGTGGTGGCCCCGGTCGCCATCGCTCGCCGGCCCTGCAAGGATGTCGTTTCCCTGCGCATCCCAACAAGGCTGCGCTTCGCTCTCCGGGAAGGCGGTCTCACGGTAGGCTGGCATCCTAGAGAGGTGCTAGAGCTGCTCTACTTCGAGCTATGCTGATGTAGCTGGACTGTCGATCCCCGAGGCTCTGGCATCATCACCAAGTGCTACTAGCAGCACACTTCGTGAGACGTTGAGGCATGAACCGTGCTGTGGAAGACAGCCTGTGATGCTCCGTTATGCATGGCTTGCAGCTTCCCTTCGCTGCAGGTGTCCGAAGAGCCCACTGAGCTTAGCCCACTGAGCTTTGCATACAATTGGCAACGGGTGGAGCTTCCGAGCCGCCCCGGGACAAAAATATGAGAACAACCACATGTCCGCAAACATGAAGCGATCGCAACACGGCTAGCTCGCTGATGACAGATGAGCTGATAGTAACCAAGACTGTGTGCACACACTGTCCACGTAGCCATGTGCGCACACAACAGTGTAGGTCCGAGTCGTGTCGTTATACAAAGACAGGCAACGAGACAGCGTCAGGCCGTGGGGTGCCCCGCTCAGCAAGCGGAAGCTCAGCTTTCTCGGCTTCAGCGCCGGCGCGGCTTCGCGGGAAGCGGCGCGGAGCCAAAGGAAGCTGCGGCCTGCACCCCGACGAGGATCCAGGTATCACCGTCTTGGCTAGTCAGAATGATGGACAGTCTGTTTCACAGCGTACTTAGCGATTCTTGGGTCCTCAAAGGCTTGGAAGGAGGGATCGTTCCCTTTGAAAGGCATTTTCCCGCAGAGCGCGAGCTGCTTCAGCCTTCTTGATCATCTTAATTAACGCTAGGATAAACATCATGTAGGTGAGTTTGAATGATGGAAACTGTGCATCGTGTAGTGATTCTCAAAGCTGCGTGCTGAGCAGGCAGCTTACGCCAGCTGCTGCTCCCTTTGCTCTCTCGAAGATGACCTGCTTAGATGTGCTCTTGCCTGCCAGAAATGTTTCGCGGTTAAATTTAAATGCTGGCGCCAGTGAGTGTTGCTCATTTGCTTTGCCTCGCCATCGTGTCTCTAAGGCGTTGCGAGTTTCAACAGGTTCAGGTCCAAGCCGTGCAGTATGGTCCGTTGAAACCTGTGGCCGCTGGGCTCCACCGAGCTTTTCTAGCGGCCGTGAGCCACATGGAGGAACATATGGGCTCTCAGAAGCAACTGCAGCTCCTGACCAGGACCACATATTTTTCAGAGCAGCCGCAATGCTAACAGAGAACGTGCAAGCATTCGAAGAACTTGTATCAAGGTTGGACATGTGCAGACTAGCTAGCAGTGACCAGAAGCAGCTCTGAAGCGGTGCAAAGTGCGTGAGGGGTGATAGCATGATGGAGCCGCCAGCGACGTCCAACGGCCCAAAGAGAAACCTCATCCACGAAAGTTGGCTTCGGAAATGCAGCAAGCATCTCCGCATTTGGAGATCTCGATGGGTTTCTGTTTGGACTGGACAGGAGAGTTCGGTACTGTGCTCCCCGCATGCATACAACTATGCGGATGTGAGCGAGCGATTTGAGCTCGCTGCCATAGGCAAGATCTGGGAGGCACCTGATGGTATGTATGGGCGTCCACATTGCTTTGTCATGGAGCACCTCAGTCCACAAGGCACGCGCTTAGTGGCCATGCAGGCCTTCGACGAGAGCAGCAAACATACGTGGATGCGAATCCTGGCGAGCAACACGCAGGCCCAAGCCCCGTTGCCCATCCAGCGAAATGCAGCCGCAGCAGAAGCACCTCCACCTCAGCAACGGGACTTGGCAGCTTCATCAGAGTCCCGAGCCCAACCCGGTGGCAAGGGGACAGCGTCGTCCTCAAGCAGCGGAAAAGGCTCTGGCAAGGGCCCTCCGGTTCCAGTTCCAAGCGGCAAAGGAGCCTCTAAAGGACCTGGGAAAGGGAAAGGTCAGGTGCCTCCGCTTCCTCTCGGAAAGGGCAAGGGCAAGGGCAAGGCTCAGCCGAAGGCGAAGGCTTCAGCAAAATCGCTGCCCTTCGGAAAACGACTGAACATGCGGGACTCCGGAGCGCTTCCACAGACGGCTCGAGGCGAACAGCCCAGCATCTTCCAAGGACTCTTTGCCAAAAGAGCAGGACAAGCGCAGGAGGACATCGACACTTTGCGCTCCTTATTCTCAGAGACAAAAGCCTCTGCTGGCAGCGGCAGTGGAGCAACTTCGGGTACAGTGTCCCTAGCACCAAGCGCGACCCCGCGCAAAATCTTCCCGGATGCCGTGGCCCGGAACTGCCAAATAGTCTTGCGTGGCCTGGCTTTACGCGGCCCAGAGCTCGTTGAAGCTGTGAAATGCTTAGAACCCGGGCCTTTGGACCAGGACCAGCTCGAGCGGCTGGCCCAGATGATGCCCGAGCCGTCCTTGATGTCCCAACTCGACAGAGAGGCAAAGGGACCGTGCCCCTCCCCTTTGCGGGACGTGGAGCAGCAAATGGTGCCCTTCAGCCAGCTTGGGCGTCTTCAAGAGCGGTTGAAAGCCTTAATTTTGGCTGCAAACCTCCAGCCTCAAGAGCTTCGGCTTATGGCACAGATGCAGGCCGTGCGAGAGGCCTGCACCCAGATGCGTGAGTCAAGCAGCCTTAAGCATGTCCTAGCCACCGTTCTCGTGATGTACAACTATGTGAACTTTGGCCAAGTGGAGCGAGCAGAAGCGCGTGCCTTTGACATCGCCAATCTCCTTCACTTGAATGAGTTTCGAGCTGACCGCAGCGCCCCGTTTCCAAAGTTTACAGCGCTACACTACGTTGCCATGAGGCTTCTGGCCGACGAGTCCGATGAGTCTAGTGGATTCCATGCCAAGTCGATCCACACCTTGCAGGCTGAGCTGCACAGAGTGTCGGAGGCAGCAGGCATTTGCCTGAAATATGTTTCAACTTCGATTGAGCAGCTGACTGAAGATATCCGAAAGCTGCGAGAAGAGCAGCGAGCCAATGCCACGGTCTACGGGGGCACCGTCGATGTCGAGGCCAGCTCGCACACCTTGATCTGATATCAGGGCTCTCCTGTGCTGTCCTGTGCTGTGCAGGAGCCAGCTCCATCTCCCGCGCCTCCACCTGTTCCCACCCCGCCGGTGGCTCGTCGGTTGACCGAGCTCAGCGAGGTCTCCGAGTGCGAAGAGATGACACCACGTCCAGACCTCAGCCCACAAGCCTTCGAGTTTCTGCTAGAGGCCATGTTAAAACAAACTGAACAGCGCGAAGACGCGAGGAGTGGACCTCATCCCGCAGCAGACGCCTCGATGCGGTGCCAGTGCTCCTCCCAGCATCCAGTGAATTGCAACGAGTAGCGGGAAGAACTAGAGAAGCGAATTCGAACATTTGGCCTCCGCTTCTCTTCGTGGCTTCTGCGGAGGAGCGGCGGCCTGGCTGCGACAGGCCGTCGGCCAGCTCGGGCCTGCAGAGCTCTCGGACCTGGCGAGAGGAGCCCCCCCTCCCCCCCCCTTCCGCTCGAGTGTTGGCTGGGAGTCACTGCAGCGCCTAACAGTTGACAGGAGCGTCCCAGCAATGCCCGAGCTCAACCTGGCTCTTGATGCACGATGGGATCAACGGGACCCGAAGTCGCAAGGTCTTCGTCACTGTGTCTGAGCTCGGCGTCCTGTGCTACAGCGAGAGCATGGCGAACCCGGAGACAGTGCACTGCTTGCCACTCATCGGGGCCGAGATCGGCCCGACACAGTCACCAAATGGCTTTGAGATCACTTGTCTGCCGAAGCCTGGCTGTGCGAACAAGATGAGCTTCAGGTTCCAAGCGCCAGATCTGCAAGCCTCCTTCCTGTGGCAGAATGCGCTCCAGGCGGCTTCGATGCGTGCAGGTGCTGGTTGGCTGGAGGTGTGCAGCGCCTTCACCTGGAAGTGTCGCTGGGTGGTAATCTTGACCATACCCTCGACCACAAGCCGTGGAGCTTCAAGGATGTCAGATGGAAGCCGGTGCTCTGCGTCTTTGCGGGCTGGGTCTCGCTGGCTCTTGTGGTTCCGCAGTCCGGAAGAGATGCTGCTTGGAGACATCTGTGGCAGTGTTGAGCTGGGTAGCACAGAGGCCTGGACAGCAAAAGCATCCCAATCCCATGCAAGTCTTGCAGAAGTACCGATTCGCAACTAATCAGCACAACCTGGCTTCGATCGCGCAGGTATTCAATCGAAACCCGCGCGCTCACAGCTTCAGGGTGGGTCTCTCTTCCTGCAGAAAGCT